ATCTATTTTATCTGGTTAAGTATAACTATACCTGACTTTTAAAAAAGTCAGCACTGTCTTCTAGTCTTTAACTTTTCTGTTTGTTGGTAAGATTTAGGTTGATGTTCACTTATATTTCTTTCCTATAAACAGCAGAAGGTTTCTGAAAGCCATACAAAATTACAACTTTTGACTGGTGAATTTAAGACATTTATACTTAAGATGATAAGGAGACATAAGTGTTTACTGCCATTTTTTAAATTAATGGCATATCTAACACTATTATTTTTTTGAAGCCATTTAGCATTTTGTTTAGTTTCCATTTTTGCTGTTCTATTAATTTTTGGTTTTATTTATTATTATTTTTTGTCTATTGAGTTTTGTTTGAAGATTCTTCTGAGGTTCACCTGGACTATTTGTGTGACCTGCAGGACCATCTGGTCTCATTCAATGTCGGGCTCCTCCTTCATTTTATATGAATTAGGTGTCTGTACCTCTACATTTGCTGTTGCTTGATAATAATCCCTTCAGTCATGTATGCCTGTTGATATATTCTTTACATTTTTGCTTTTTAGTGAAGGTCCTTATACTTCCTTCTGTCTTGAATGTTAATCTTGCTGGGTAAAGAGTTCTGGGTTGGAAATCTTTAATCACTTTAATCATTTCCTGCCAATTCCTTCTTGCTTGAAATATTTCCACTGAAAAATTTGCTATTAGTCTTTCTAGTTTTCCCTTATAGGTTACCATTGTAACCTTGTTTTGAGTATTCTGTTCTGTCACTGGCTTTTTTTTTTTTTTTTTATTCATACAGAACGGGGGTACAGGCCAGAGATGCAGAGGGTGAGAGGATTCACCAGAGACAAAGTGGGGAGCAGAAGAGGCAGATCGACGAAGTACACTGCTGAGGGGAGGAGCGGGAGGGTCAGGAGAGGTCTGCCACGCCATGTGGATCTCCTCCGGGGCAGGTGGGGATCGAACTCAAGTGGAATTGGCTTAAGCTTCTTAATGCAGTGCTTTAACCCGCTGCGCCACCAGGGAGGGCCCCTGTCACTGGCTTTTAATACTGTTATGAAAATGTGTCTGCTTGGTATTATTTTGTTTTGAGCTCTTTGGGCTTCCTGAATGAAGATATTCGAATCATTTCCTAGATCAAGATGGTTTTGAGCAATTATTTTCTTTAAATAAAATTTCTATGCTTTTCTCTTCTCTTTCTAGGACCTTCATGGTACAAATGTTACTCTGTTATGTCACCCCAAGGAACTCTTTTTTTTTTTTATGTCCTACTATAAGCCTGTTTATTCTTATTCATTTTCTTTTTTTAATTAAAAAGTTTATTTTTACATCATTTTGCACATTTTTTTT